AAAAATAAATCATAACTAAATTTATGCTATTTTTAAGCTAAAATTGTTACACAAACTCTACAGCTTAAGGGATAGAGATTTTAAGGTAGATATATTATTAAATGGCAGATCATTGTTTTTATAATCAATTAACTCCTTGCGTAAGAGAATTGCTTTATTTTTTTAAAAATTCCAAGCTTGAGCTAGTTCAAGAGAAGCATAAATAATTTTATTTTCATCTATCTTCCCAGATATAGCTAGTTTTTTATATACTGGAGAAAGAAAAAATGCGATGAAATAGATATTACTATCAAATTCCTTTATAGGTTTGTTGATTATAGTAAGAGCATGATTTTTAAAACTATTGTTAAGAATATTAAGTAAAGATATTTGCTAATAAATATTAATCAACTCTTTAAAGATATCAGTTAAAGTAGAATCACTTAATTCTAGCCTTCCAATGGCATTAATGACTGGCTTAATTACTTTAGTTAGTATATTGTTATCTGCAAAATGGTATTTGTCACAAATAAGATTTTTGATTATAATATTTTCAATCTCAGGGTAGTTAGGACATTCTGTTTCACTTAACAGAAGGCAATATCGAAAACTTTCTTCATAAGTTGAGACACCTACACAAGCCTTAGCAAGTGAATACCATTGTGTTTCACAAAATGTAGACAAAAAATGTCTTATGCCTTCTTTTTTTTGCCAGTTTTGCAACTCTTGATGCCATATATGAGATGTATTAAAAAAATTAACAAGCTTCTGATTTTTTTTACAAACCATAATAGCATCTGGAAAACCAACAATATCTTTAATGATTAAGTTAAAAACGTGTAAGTAGCAACGTATTGGAATAATATTAGAGTATTCATTATGAAGTAATTGCTTCATTCTGTTCATATTTGAAGGATTATTTGTTATACATGCAATTGGAGATGACATTTGGACACCATTTACAGATAAAGTTTTTTTTTACTAAATCACCTCTATGACGATTAGGGATGTTACGGTCTGGTCTGGTCTGGTCCTGGTTCAAAAAGACTGGTTTGGCTTTCGGACTACAGATCAGACTAAAAACTATGAACTGGTCTGAACTGGTTTGATTATAGCTTTCTGATTGGCTACTTAATTTTGTGTAGCGAAGCCGATCACATATATCTGGTATTGTGCATATGTACGTACGTACGTATATACATCATACGTATGATATACTTTTAAATCAAATTTACTCTTATCTCTCTCTCTCTATCTCTCTCTATAACGCTTTAAAATCACAGATCATACAAGATTTACTCTTATTCACTAGTTATATTCATTTTTTTAACTATTGTTAGAGTTAAAAAATACACCAAACTTTAATTTAAATATTTTCAACATTTGATCAGGACAGTATAAAATTTTCTTTATTTTTAATATATAAGGTTATAACGCAAAGATTGTTTCAAAAAAAAAGAAAAAAGCTAAAATATATATTGTAATGACGCATAAGATCATTTCAAAGAAAAAAGTTAAAAAATATTTAAGCATAAGATCATTTTTTTTAAAAAAAAAAAAAAGTTAAAAAATATTTAAGTATCTATTATTCAGTATTATCTTCCATTTCAATGCTAATCCAACTTTTCACACAAAGACAAGCTCTCGCAGTTTCCAGATGAAGCTGATTTCGAGTTCTTGAGATTGTATAGCCTGCCAAAGAAAAAGCCTGCTCGCAAGCAATACTCGTTGCTTGTATAGAAAGGTAATCGCAAGCAATTAGCGAAATTACAGGATAATCTTTTTTATGAACTTTTTACCAGAGCAGAGGTTCTGTGTTCTCATCCGGCAAAGATTGGAGGTAATTATCTAATTCAGTTCTGTTTGATAATGGCATTTGTATTTGGTTTTGAGGGTGGGATCTTTATAAGTGGTGTAAGGTGAATTATCATATTGAGAACCAAGTTGCCAAAAAAATTGGCATGTTGTATATAATTCGGTTTTATCATTATTCATATTATTCATATTATTCATATTATTGTAGTATGCAGATGATTGAAATTGAAGCTAGTAACAATCAAAAACTTGATGAGTTAAATTAATAGCATTTTTTTGTTGTGTAGTGTCGCTAAAAATTTTAAGCTTAGTACGTGAATCAAGAACTGCTGATTCAATAATTTTCCAATATTCAATTAATTTTTTATGCATAGAGACGACTACATTATGTTGAGAAAATTCTTCATTTTTGATATATGTATCTAGATACCGTTGAAGACAAGTAAAAACAAACTGAACATCACCATGAGTTGGATAGGATGCAGCTGACAAATGCTTTGTGGCTTTTTCAAGTGGTTCTAACAAAATTACAAGGTCCTGTATATAATATTATTAGTGCTCAAATTTAATAATTATAAAGCTGAAATTTTAAATATTTTAATATGAAGTTTTTAAAAATTTTTTTCTTACTTGTAATTTTTTTTAATCATTATATGTAGGATACAATTCAGCAATCGAATCGTTATTAGCACAAAGAAGATTTAAAGCCATTTCCATTTTTTTAAATTTTTGTACTATGTAATACGTGCTATTCCAGCGTATCCCAATATCAAGCTCTGCTTTTAGGTATTTAATTCCCTTAAAATTACACAATGCACGCAAATCATCACAAAGACGGATTGAGGCTTTAATTTTTGACATTAACTGACACACTTTATTTACTGCTGAGCTAACCATTACCAACTCTTGTTTTGCTACTAGGTTCAATATGAGCGCCGTGCATCGAAAATAAGAGAATCCAATATTATCAAACTCATTTTCCAATTCTTCTGCTAACAAATGACTGCATATTACTATAGCAGATTCGTTATCTGTGGTTAATACTATTGTTTTATCGCTTAGCCCGAATTCTTTAAAAACAGAACCAATAGTATCCAATATATTAATGCCTGTATGCCTAACTGAGAATCCATGTAATGAATAGTAAGACCCAAAAAAGCATTGTTATCTAATGATTTCTACATATCGGCCGTGAGTGAGACTTTACTAGAGATATTCTTAATGTAATTTTTAATTTGTTTACGCCATTTATTAAATTCATCAATGATCATATTCTTTACTGCTTGTCTAGTAGGGACGACATAATAGGAATCTAAAATTTTTGTGAAATCATGAAAATATTGATTATCAACTAGTGTAAATGGTTGTTGGTCTGCAATTAGCCAAATAATCAACTTATCATCTCATTTTTTTTGCTCCTGTTTATTGTAGAGGTTAGTTCAAAAAACTTTAATTGTAGCCTGCTTTTTTATGGGTGCCTCTATATGGTGCTTATCAAGATGTCTTCTTAATGTTGAAACTCCAGTAGAACTATCGTATACCTTTCCGCATTTGAGGCAAACCGATTTACCAGGATGTTCAGTTGTTTTTTTATCAAAATATGTCCAGACTGATAATTTAAGATTTGAATAGCCGACTTGGAAAGAATTACTAAAAGATGGCTCTGAAAGAGACGGTTCAGAAACTTGACTTAAAAAATCATCTGACATATTATCAAGATCATCTTGGAATACATTATCCTCTGATTCGGGTTGTCTATCTTCATTCATTTTTATTTATAAACTAACAATATGTATTTTTATTTATTAACGAATATATAGGATTAATAATAAGAATTAATACAACTTTGTTATCACGTAAAAATTTTAACTTGAAGGTGAAAAAGAAAGAGACTTTTTATCGAGTTATTTATATTATTTCAAATGTCTTTATTAATTGTATTTTTACAATTTTTTTGTTTTTTTGAATACAAAAAAACTCATTGTGAATGAGGCTTTTAGATCAATAACGGGAAGTGTATTATTTGAATTCCTTTCTATTTCTGTTATTTTTAATTTTTTCATGTATTTGATGTTCTTTTTAGCATGAATTCGAAGTTTTATTTAGAATTTACATTAGATTATTTACACAGCCATCCATATAGCCTCACTATGTTTGGTATTATTATTTTTTTTTTCATCGTTGACATGTACAACTATAAATTTCTTTTACTAATTTTTATACTTAATGTTCTTTTGTTTTTTTTTTGCGTGAATTCAAAGTTGTATTTCAAATTTACATTAGATTTTTATGATTATTTACACAGCCATCCTTATAGCTTTACTAAGTTTAGTATTATTACTTTCTTTCTTCGTTATTAACATGCATGACTATGATTTTCTATTACTTGACTTATTAAGTTAGCAGCTAGTAGCTCTTTCAAAATCACAGAAATATATTAATATATTAGACGTTTATTGTGCCATACTATTAGTACAATTAATAAAAAAAAGCAAACTGTGTACCTAAAAAGGCGTGCATTTATAAAGTATAATATAGTAAACCTTTATAAGTGATGCTCTTGGACCAACCTTTGGCAATATATATTTAGAGTACAATAGAAATCATGTATATATTTAGACTAGAGATAATTTACATAGATCGTAAATTTATAGTATTTGTATTTATGAAAGTTTTTTGTAATAAATTTTAAATTTCTCCAAGAGGTTTTGATAGATAAATAATCTTTACCATCCATTATTATGATTATGAATAAATTATGTAAAAAAAAATAAGTTTTGCACTCAATATAAAATATGTTTTATAAGAATTCTTCAATGTTACATATAAAAATATGTTCATTATTATCAATTGAAGTATTAGATAGTTTAATAAATATCTATTCTGCAAATATATTTTTATTATCTAATATAAACGGATATCTAATAAAAATTTGAATAAATCCAAGTACTAAATTTTGATTATAATTAATGTTTGATACTGAATTTGGGTTAAATAAAAATTAAATTGCACACTTTAACATTATTAAATATTAAACTACAACTCACTCTCGTTATAGTGAACGCTCGTCATAGTAAAGATTCAATATAGTGAAGAATTTTTAAACTCCAACTCGATCTAGTGAAGTACATACTGTATAATTATTCTTTTGATATAAGCTATAGTAAGATTTTTTTTTTAGCCCGGGACTTCATAATGAGAGTAATTTATTTATAAACTCGAATAAATAAATGCATGTTTTCTAGTTATATTTCAAGTTTATTTGTTTGCTGAGAAAGTTAAACGGATGCTACATAATTGGGTATAATAATTAATGTTTCATATCTAATACATAACAATGCAACAGAGGCTTGTGTTATGTTTGCTATTGTCCAAAAGTGACAAATATTAATAGACTGATATATAGACCAGTTCTAAATTATGAACTGTAGACTGATTGGACCAGTTTACGAACCAGTTCAAAACCCGGTCTTTAGTGGACTATAATATCCCTAATGACGATATGCAAATAAGTTGCAAATATCTAATACAATTTCTTAATATTCTTTAAGGGCTATGAATACATATATTGAATTTCCTGAAGTATCAGTCCATCTATCAAGAGAAATTGTGAAATTTATAAGGCTAGAAAGAGTAGTTAACTTCTTTTAAATATGAATAGAAAACATTTTAGTTAATAGGCTTCCTTTTATCATATCAAAAGAAAGAAGATTATAGGCAGAATTTAGATTATAAAGAAAATCTTTCAAATATGGATTTTCAAGTTAAGATTTCTATAAACAACAGCTTTTAGAAACTTTTGGTTAAGCCCTTCAGACTATGCGCTAGGTAAAGGCTGAGTACACCAATTAAGAATACTGTTTTGATGAGGATTAGGTATAGATAATTGTTGCATATTATTATTTGCTTGAATATTTGTTTGTCTAGTATGTGTATTATCTTCATTGTCACAAGGACGTTTTTGAGATGAAGAACTTCCACTATTAATCTTTTGTAAATAGGCTGTTTTTTCAGTGACAGGCCAATCACTGCATTGAAGAACATGTCGATAAAGCCTATCAGGTTTACCACTTAGCCCAGCTAAGCAATATTTACATTTTGCTATATATCTATTTCCTGCTTCTTTAGTTTCAGAACAGTAAAACCCACTCCAGCGCAGGCCTTGTATTGGAAGTGATAATGCAAAACCCATAGGAATAGACATATTTGAAATATAGTAATATTTCAGATAATTTTAAAAATTTCTGTTTATGAGGAACAAACAATTACTAATACAAAGCTAAAGTTAAGATTATAATAGGAAATTATGAAGTCTTTTAGATTTATTGAAAGAAAACTCAAGGTTTTTTATACACTTCTGTGAAATATAACTTTCTATCACTAAGTATTATTTATATATATACATCTTTTTTTTTTCGTTTTAACAACGCATTTATATCTTAATTGACTTATTGTCATATTAAACAGCATTTTCTATGTCTAATTGTAATTCTCTAACCATGAATTTGTGCTTAGTGCTTGTGTGGTTCATCTTGTTATATTTTTGTGGACTAACTAAAGAATGCTAAAACATTGGGCCCACATATTGATATTGCTACGTAGTAAATTTGTAGCTGCAGATAATATATGGGAGGTCAAAAGTAGAAACTACCGAATTTTTTTCTAAGTAAATTTTTTTCAGACTTTAAATTAAAATATCTTAACAACCATTAAACCAAACTTGATAAAAATTTTTTTATTTTAATTCTATATAGTTATAGAATTAAAATAAAAAAAAATTTATTAGGTTTGGTTTAAAAGTTGTCAAGATATTTTAATTAAAATTTTTAAAAAAACTTACTAAAAACAAATTCAGTGGTTTCTACTTTT